TTAATAAACGGACACCGGATCACCTTTCAGGGCCTGGCCGCCCCTCTTGGCCTCCTCCGCTCCGGTTTCGCTCAGATCGGCGTCGAACCAGCCGCAGAATCGGTTCTCCTGGTTCCAGCAGCTCTCGCCGTGGCGGATCAGCACCAGCTTATACGCGGCCATCACGCGCGGTCTGCACGCAGAGGGAATGTTAACGGAGGAGACGCCGAGGAGAGATGCTGCTGACGGTAGAGCGGAGCGGAAGTGTTCGGAGCTCGTTTTGCGCGAGGACAGAACGCGTCCTGAGTCTTTGTACTGTCATTAGTTTAAAGGAGAAAGTATAGTTGTACAACTGGGTTTAAGTGCAATAATTAAATATTTTAACGGTATGCATGAAACATAGTTCCATATGCACAAAATTAAATGATCTCACCCCGAAACATAGGTTCTTTTTCATTTTATATGACTTTTAAATAATCATTTTAATAGATTTCACTGTTCTCTATAGAACTATACTGTTCTAAGCATTATTTATTTATTGCTTTATTTGGTTCATCCTCTTAGGTCAGGCAGAAAATAAAAATAACGTAATTATAGTATGAATACTATTGATACATATACACATTTACATACAACATACAACCATACATGAATTCAAATTAATAAAAAAGAAAACACCAGGCAAGCATAATTGCACACTAAATAAATAACTAATGAAATAAAATAGGGAAAATAAAAATAAAATAATAATAAATAAATAAATTTTTTAAATGTTTAATTTATTTTTTATTTTTTATTTAATTGTTTTTAATCAGTTTATCTCATTAATTTAATCACATTTTTGTTACTTATTTATTTTAAAAACATTTTTACACTGTCTTTAACTAAACTTTTTTTCACAGACCCCCTTGATGTAGTATTATTGTGTAAATGTAAAAGAAAAATGAGCAATTTTATTAAATTTGATACTGATAGAGAAGCGAAGACCCCTTTCCTATATTTTTCATCTTTCATAAAAAATAAAAAGAAACATTAACAATAAACCACCAGTCTGTGTTTGAAAGACTTTATTCAAAGGCCTACAGCTTAGTTGATTAATTGAGAGATGTGTACATGAAGGGTCATAATAAATATATGAGCAAAGGTATTATATTATAATAATAGTACATATAATATTTTTTTTTACAAATAATTGATATATATGTATGTATGTATGGTATTTAACGTGTGGTTCTTTGATGTATTTTCATTGGCTGTCGTCTTCGCTGCCGTGTTGGTCTTCTCCTGCGGTATCCGTGCAGCTGCTCCCGGTACTCGCGGTGGCGCATGGCCACGTAACCGCAGGAATCACACAGATCCTGAGACACAGAGACACCGGACTGAGATGCTGCAGCATACTGTGGTTAAGGCAGTCAGATATCGTGTTGTACTGTACCGGGTAACACGCATGGAAGAGTTTGTAACCCCCCAGCAGCAGGTAGAGCTCAGGATAGTGCAGGTTGGGATACACATTCACTCGTCTGTCCA